GCCGGATGGATCTTCCAATTTTGGCCGGATCTCAGCTTTGGTTAGTCACAAGCTGATCCGGAATGATCCGCGGCCCGGTTACCGTTCCCCCAATTAGGGCTATTTTGCTTCACTGGATTGGGCCGGATGGATCTTCATATATCCCAACAGTGTTTATTTTGGTTAGTCACAAGCTGATCCGGGATGGATCCGCGGCCCGGTTACCGTTCCAGCCCTTAACGGATTACAGATCCGACCCAAACACGTCCGATTGTACAATCCGGTCCGCTAGCCCAATAAAGTGAAATGTTATTTTACCTTTATGCCCTCAAAATTCCTTTCTTATTACAAATTAGCCGACTATATATTTCAAAATTTCCCCCAAATCACTTCTTACGGGAGCCCTAGGCAATTACTTAGCAGCGCATTTGGTTTCTTCCCTCTTTCAATTCTTTGATTTTTTTCTGGTTATTTAGTACAATATTTGGTTCTCATCTGTTTATGTTCTTTGTAACAAATTTATATTTGCTGAAGTTATGAATCGCAGTTTCTTTTTGGCGATCTGAACCGGTGGATCTCGCGGGCTTGAGCGGCTTCTAGCAGGCGGCGACCCTGACTCTACGGCGACGGACGTACTCCGGCGACCTATCACCTCCTGAGGTTAGTTTCTTAATCTCCACGGTGACTTGTACTTGTGAAGAGAGTAATTATAATTTACCCATTGTACGATTGTATTTCCATGTTTCTTAATCTCCACGGCGACCTATACACGTTTACTGTCTTTTGTGTGGCTAATTTTTTCACAATCAATTAATAAGAGGTTCTAATTGTGGGTATTCGGTGTCATTGAAACTGCAAAAAGCTTTGGTAACCTCTCACATTAAATTTGAAATTTTGAAACAGTAGCTAATTTTTTTAATATTATTTTTTATTCAACATGGAAATGGGTACTTTGTATGCTGTGGGTGCTAGTGAATCAAATTGTGTATTTTCCATATTTGTGTGGTATTCCAATTTATATGTGTATAAACATATAGTGTGTGTTGAGTGTAAATAGAATATACAATATTCCCACTCTGTGCGGTGGTAATATTTTGTGGTAATATTTATGCTATGTTTCTGTTGTTCACTTAATTATTCTTTGTTGTTATCTTGAAGTCGAGGTGGGGAATCTTAAGGAGCCCGTCGTATTATCCGATCAAAACGCAAAACCGAATTGTTATGGCGTGTTGTCTATTGCACAACTTTATTCGAACCACAAGCGATTTCGACCCCGAAGAAGCATTAGTTCCAGCCGAAATCATCCACCCAGATCCGGACACTAATTACGCCTTCATAGAGAATGTTGAGCCTTCGGAAGTATGGACTTCGTGTACAACTACTTGCATGCTTACTTACATTCAACTAAATCGCTTTTATTTTTTTTAATAGTCCGATCCAAATGCTCGCTTGATGCGTTTCAAGTCATGGCCGTACTATAGTGATTGGACTATTATATTTGGAAAAGATCGGGCAACCGGTGAGAGTGCCGAAGCACTCTTCGATGCGGTTAACGACTTGACAAAACAAGACAAGCCCGCAAGTGATGGCCATG